CATTGCATATTTGGCTAGACAACTGAATATACAAGAATGTCAGATGTGCTCTCTACACTACCTTGAATCCAGAAAAAAGGGCTACACCATTTGGGGCAGTATAATTATCTAGTGGTTGTGAGGGTTGCTTGCCTACTACTAATAATCAGTTCTATGTGTTGAGAATGTTTAGAAAGACACAAGAGTAATAGTAAGTCATACACACACACGATTAGTAGTAAGTCATATACACACAAGGGTTTCTAAGGAGAGAGAGCTTCACACACACAAAAATCTATTGATCTGCTTGTGTCTCGTATACAAGAAGAGAGAAGATAAGAGGATGAACAGTACTTCTCTACTAGACTCTAAATACTGTAGCTACAATAATTACTATAGTCTACAGTAAATATTATGGAGAGCGTCGGCTACATTTAATGATCTCAACACTCCTCCTCGCTCATCATAATATTTACATAATATCAGATTTATATAGATTTATGATCTATACTTTTCTGTGATCTTGTAAGATCAAGAATTGTTGCCTCATTAAAACCTTATCTTGGAAAACCTTATTTTATTTAAGGACAAAACCATAGATGAAGGAAAAAGAGTACAACATCATTTTCTTTAATTATTTAAAGAGCTCTTTAACTTTCTTATTCAAGAAAAGCAAGTCGCTGCATATCAATGCCATAAGTAAGTAGACGATGATTGCTTAATGGAAGAGCTTTGGTAAAGAGATCAGCAAGATTATTTGTAGATTCAATTTTTTTAATTATAAGTGCTTGATCAGTAATCAAATCATGAGTATAACTAAAATACTTTGGATCAATATGCTTTGTCATGTCGCCTTTAATGAAACCAACTTGCATCTGTGCAATATAAGCACTATTATCTTCATGCAAGATAGTTGGAGAATCATCATATGAAAATCCATAGGTTGTTTGAATGAATTTATCAATTGATCGCAACCAAACACATTCTCGAGATGCTTCATGTAAGATAATAATTTCTGCATGGTTGGATGAAGTTGCAGTTATTGTTTGTTTCACTGATTTCCATGATATTGTAGCTCCATGTCTTAAAAATACATATCCTGTTTGAGATTTAGCTGTTGCAATATCAGATTTATATCCTGCATCACCATATCCAACCAATTTTGGATCTGCAGATTTTGTGTAATATAATCCCAAGTCTTCAGTATCTTTTAAATAACGTAATAAATGTTTGATGCCATTCCAATGTCATGGTGTTGGACGTGCACTATGTCTTGCAAGAATACTAACTGTAAATACAATATCTGATCTTGTAGATGTAGCTAAATACAAAAGTGCTCCAACCGCTGCGAGGTATGGATATTGGTCTCCCAATATTTCCTCCTCCTCCTCGCATGGACGGTATGGATCATGACCATCACAACCACGTCCAACCATTGGTGTGGACAATGGATAAGCATCATTCATATTAAATCTTTGCAAAATTCGTCTAATATATGTTAATTGGTAGAGAAAAATGCTACCATCTGTAAGATGCATAATCTGAAGACCAATGCAGAAAGTTGTTTTTCCTAACATTATCATCTCAAATTCACGTATAAGTAGGTTTGTAGCTGTAACACATGCAGTTGTAGTGCCCACTAGGTTAAGATCATCAACATATATAGCGATGATCACAAAACCAGTTTTATCTCGTTTGATAAACAAATAAGGGATTAGTGGATCACTTATAAAATTATTTTTAATTAAATAATCTCGAAGACGTTGATACCACATTTGTCTGAATTGTTTTAAACCATACAAGGCCTTACATAATTTAATACCACGATATTTTCTTGGAGCGGGTTGATTTGGAGTTCCTGTTTCTAAGCCAGGTGAAACTTTCATATAAATATTTGCATCAAGAGAACCATATAGATATGTAGTAACTACATCCATCAGATGCATCTCAAGGGTGGCATGAACTGTTATTCCAATAATATATCGAAATGTAATTGAATCCATGACTGGAGAATATGTGGATTCATAATTAATGCCAAATCGTTGAAAAAATCCTTGAGTAACAAGATGAGCTTTATAGCGGGTTATTTGGCCTTGAGCATCTCGCTTGCATATTAATACCATTTTATATCCCACAGGGCGAGATGTAAGAGTGTCTACAATTGGACCAAAGACTTTTCTCTTACGCAAAGAGGCATACTCTTCCTCAATAGCAGTTTTCCATTTTGACCAATCAGAGCGACGCATCACCTCTTCGATGGTTTGAGGTTCAAGATTGTCTTCCTTGTAAGAAAGGGATTCTATAATCATATATGCAAATGATTCATCTATCGTAATAGATGGTTTGTCCCAAATATCATCTATAGCACAATACAGAATAGATAATTCTTTACTCAACTTGTTCTTATTCCTTCCAATTCCAAGATTGTTTTTCATAGGAATTGAAGGTACATTATGCATGGATATATCATCATGAATTGGTAGTCCTACAAGATGAGTGGCAATTTCTTGAGAAATAATACCAGGATTAGTTAATTTTATAGCTTTCTTATCTGGTCCACGAGTTCTTTTAGTTGTTGTTGTTATAACTTGAGGTATTGTAGTCAATGGCACTGCAATCTGAGCAGGTGCATTTCGAGCCTCATTAATAGGAACTCTTGTAATTCTAGGTGCATCATTGAAGCCATCAGGTGTTTCATCCGCGATCCGTTTTAAATGTAAAATCTTAGCAACTTCAGTTTCTGCCAAAGATGTCCTAGGATCGGGATTCATTGTAAATGTTTCTGGTGCTTCAAATATGAGTACTTTATTTTTTTGTTGATTGGATACTCCTCCTTGAAGAGATGGGAATACAATTTCTTCAAAACGACAATTTTGCAGATGTGCACGTAATAATGTGCCAATTGATGGATCAACAATACGAATAATGCTTGGTGAATCAAAACCAACATATATGCCTTCTTGTCGATGAGCTCCAATGATACGTCGTTGAGGTTCTGGTACTGGAATCCAAGCATGGCAACCAAATACTCGTAAGTGAGATACATTTGGAACACGACCCGAAATGAGTTCATGTGGTGAAACAGTTTCAAGAGAAGAAGGGCGGAGGCATATTAGTACTGCAGCATATAAAACTGCATGATCCCACATAGATGTAGGTAGATTTGCGTGAAGGAGGAGTGGCCACGTAATGAGTTGTATATGCTTTATAAATGACTCTGCAAGTCCACTTTGAGCATGTTCATATGGAACACAATATGTCAATTCGATTCTTGTTGCAGTACAATACTCTTCAAAAGACTTTGATGCAAATTCTTTTCCATTATCCATACGCAATGTTTTTATAGGATAATCAGGAAAATGTACTTGAAAGCAAATAAGCATAGATATAAGATTGACAAACACCATGTTTCGAGTTGATAATAATGAAACATATGATTGTTTACTTGATGCATCAACAAGGACCAAAAAATAACGAAATGGTCCTGATGTTAGATTAATAGGACCACAAACATCACCATGCAATCTTTCAAGCATTGGTGGTAATTCTTGTGGAAGTTTCCAAATTGAAGGCCGAGTTATCATTTTACCTTGCACGCATGTGCTAAATGTCCAATCATTCCACACTTATGGTAAGAACACATCTCTGTTTTTTTGTTTTCTACTATAATTAATAGTAGAACGTTTATTCTTTCCATATGGATAGAAATGGTCTTGACTATGATTACCTTGATACTTATGAGCACGTTTCCCATGTTTATATAATTTCTTCTTACACTTTGAAATATTAAGTACATGAGATTCAGGAATTGTAGTTCCAATAGGACGAGCTTCCGCATTGCGCAAGAGTAGCTCATTTTGCTTCTCCGCAAGAAGTAGATAGGACATGAAATCAGAATGACTCTGAAATTTCATGTTCTTGTATTGTTGTGCAAGCACAGCAGATGCAGGAGAAAATGTAGAGAGAGTTTTCTCAATCATTTCTTCTTCAGAAATGCTATGTCCACATAATCGTAATTGTGAGACAATACTATACATTTCACTATTGAAAGCATTTAAATTTGGAAAATCCAAGACACGTAAATGTGTCCAATTATGACGTGTACATGGAAGAAAAATGGTCTTTTGATGATCAAACCTAGATTTAAGATTCTTCCAAAGTTCTATAGGGTCTTCTATTTCCAAATATTGATGTTGTAATGCGGTTACAAGATGACGACGAAGGAGTAGAAGTGCTTTCCAACGAATAGCAAGAAATATAGAAATACTTATTGTAGGAGATTCTTCAAACATAATGGCATCCGAGAGTTGTTCTGCAAATAAATTTACTTTTGCCATTTTTCCCATAATAGATAATTGTTTCCATCCACAGTCAATAGTGGAAATAAAAGAACTTGAAAATGTTGGGATGCACTAGTAATAGTAGGAGCCATAGTAGAAGCAATTGAAGATGTTGAAGCACTCATTATAAATAAATCTGTAAAGAAAATACAAGATCAAGTAGAAAAGTTGAGTAAAACGTACCTTAAAATATAAAGTCAAATAAAATTATAAACTTGAACTTGAAAAAACTAAAATATATATATATATTTTTAAGGAGAGATAGTTGTAGATTAAGGCAGTAAAACAGCAATAAAATGGCGGCAGCAGGTAGCGGTAGGGCGGCAGGGTGGCAGCGGCGGACAGCGGCGGCGGGCAACGGTGGACAGCAGCGGCTGGCAATGGTGGGCGGCAGCGGCGGGCAGCAGCGGCAGCGGCGGGCGGCAGCGTCAGCGGCGACAGGGTGGCAGTGGCGGATTCGGCGTCTGTTTGGCGTCTGTTCGGCGGCAGTTCGGCGTCTGTTCGGGGCGCAGCACGGAGCAGCAAGCAAGGCAAAGAGTGGAACAAGTGCTCTAAGCAAGCAGTGTGTGAGGTGCCAGCAAGAAGAAAAAAATCATGACCCAGACACTAAGCAAGGGTAGCAACAGGTTTGAAGAGTCAAAGACTAGAGCAAAAAAAATTGTGATAGTGTGTAGAAGAGAATCCTGCTGATAACTTGTTGAGAATGTTTAGAAAGACACAAGAGTAGTAGTAAGTCATACACACACAAAGGTTTCTAAGGAGAGAGAGCTTCACACACACAAAAATCTATTGATCTGGTTGTGTCTCGTACACAAGAAGAGAGAAGATAAGAAGATGAACAGTACTTCTCCACTAGACTCTAAATACTGTAGCTACAATAATTACTATAGTCTACAGTAAATATTATGGAGAGCTTAGGCTACATTTAATGATCTCAACACTATGCAACACTGCTATACTTGTTCACATTGACTGGTGTGATGAGGGGTACTTTCCTCTGGTATAGATGGTCATTCATACCGATGGGCTGCTGCCACTGATAGTTGAAGTAATAAGCTGGAGGCACGGGCTCGTCTGTGGCTTGCTGGCTTCCTTTGGAAGAACAAAACACTTGCACAGCTAGGCTTTTGGATACATCTGGACAGGGATCAAACTCTCCAAATGTTTGCCATTGGACTGGTATGCTACATCGGTGCATCCCCATGCAAGCCTGCAAATAAGCATGATGCAGTGAATTTCTCCATTCATATATCAACAAGGACTTAAATTCAAGGACTGCTAAGCAATATGTATGTAAGTTAACATCCTGAATTCAATGGTTTTGTGGACTTGAACACGCACATGACAGTACGTTATCAATGAATTTCCACCTAAAATGTACAATTTAAGCCTCAACAGAAGTTATGATTTGAATGTACTAGGTTGTAATGGTGGGTCATGTGGTAGTACACTAAGGTTGCCTCGCCATTAGCTACGTTATGCAAGAAAAATTGCAAGGTTTACCTTCCGCGCTACTTCCAAACTCTTCATTGCATGGCAAGTCCCACGTTGGAAGTTGCCACAAGAGCCTTTCGGGTTTCCAAAGCTGGCAAATTTTATGTGGCGTATATGTTGGCCGGCTATACATTCAAGCACCGCCTCTCCGGAACGACTGCTCATAGCATCCATAGAAGAATTAGCAGGCCAGAAAAGCACAGGTGGAGGTTGCGATTCGTGTACATGAGTACATACCGCAGGAGCAGATCGTGTGACCAATGAAACTTTCGAAACGTCACCTCCAATCTCCTCAAAAAGAACCAACAAGTTATTGGAAAGTTGAAGCCACGCTCGAGGAATGTGGTACCTGTATTAGCATGACCAGATCACGCTTAGTGAAATTACACATGGTCAACGAATCTTTGGTAGTGTTAAGGATACAATACGAACCTAACCCAAGTCTCAGTGGTGAAGAGATTCGCATTCGAGCCTTCAGCTAACATAATACATGTCCACATACTGACAATGGCAATGAAAACCTGGGGTTTCTTTATAATGAATACACTCATGCACATTGCTGACATATTCGCTTCATGTTGAAAAAACAACATTAGACTAGGAAGTTCAGACTTATAATCACTTGCCATCGTTGCGAGGGTTTTCCACAATTTGTGCGACATTTATCCGCGTCGTAGGCTCCCCGATAGTCACATGTTGAACACCCTGATTGTGAAGCAAGCACAGATGGCCAATAGCGGCCCATATGATGACCATTTACCCAAGCTTGACCTTTTCCCATGCTCCCAAGGTCCAGAGCAACAGGATCTGTACCTTTAGGTGCGTCAAATGTGGTCTGCGTAAGGCACCCAGCAATTTTGAGAAATAGAAATGATCCTTCGTACAAATATTGAGCCATGCTCAGAGTAACTTGTATTTCGTACTACAAGCTCTTTTATAAGTGGAGTCAGCAGAGTGCTTTCTTCAGTAAACGTGGTTTAGCGCTAAATGGATCACCTCAAGTTATGTAAGAATAAGTGAACTGCTATACACTTAATTTGCTTCGGCATACCTTGTACCAAGTAAGGGCAGAAGCATTCGGGAACGAAGATGATGAATCCCACTGAATACCGTCTGCAGTGCCAGTTTCAAATAGTCTTTTCTCCTCCCCTTGAATACCAACCTGAGGAACGCTTTCAAACAACAGTTGAATATGAAAGAGCCCACAGTAGAACCCAAGTAAAGCACTCACCTATTGATTTGTACTTGCAACTTCTATAACTTTTATATGTATGTGTGTGCATATTTTTGCAGATGTATATTTTTGTGCTCAAAGCCGTTTTTAGAATGCCTCACATCTTGCGGGACAAAGGAATGGGAATAATATCACACCTGATATGACCATCTTTCTGTCGATAAATCAAGAACCCCAGATGGCAGTCCTCTTAATAACGCGGATCCTCGAATCCCTGCGCCCCAAGTCTCTAGATACGCACCGTAGTTCTGCCAAGTATCAGTTCGTCAAAAGAAAGATTCAAACTAAATGATTTTAAATACGCTCTATCGAAAACAATATGGAGAGAGATCACTCATCTTTCAATTTTGTAGTGGAGCTCGAAAAGCACACCTTCCTCGTGATTACGATAAAAAAATCAGAAAACTAAGTCCTTTCATGGTTTGTGCAAAGAAAAGGACTTAGAAGGAAGGGTTTGCATAGAAACCTGCAATCCTACAGTCATACTGAGCAAGTCGATGTCATTCTTCCCTTCTTTCAAAGGAACAGGCTGGACAACTTGAACATCCGATCCCATTGCACTGCCTGCATGCAACAGGCCGAAAACTCAGTCTACTTTGAGATGTAAAGAAATTTGGAATTGAAGAAGAGGCCCCTGAAATGGACATAGACAATGAGGTCTCATGAAGAACCAAGAAATATTTTTTTCACGGCCACCTAAGTGTTAAGTAAATCGTAAGAACGAAAACATGGAAAAAGTAATACCTACAAGTTGTCTGTTGACGAAGATATGTACTGCATCACGCATAGAGCCGAGTACCAGTATTGCTTGCGATTTAGTTTTGGAGAGAGCTGTAACAGCCTCCACAGAGACCTTGATGCTGTGTGTGACAAAAAGAAGCACGTTAGATACAAAATGGACAATCTTCAAGACATTGCATGAGTAAAGTCAAGCAGATAAAAATCTAGGAATCTTTTTCAATACTCTCAATTTGGAAGACTTCTCCTAAAAACTCAAATTGAGAATGAAACTAGTATGACAACTTGTTACGAAACCAAAAAGAGTTTACTCCCCATTATCTTTTTTTATTCTTATTATTTGATTACAACAAACCAAATTGTAGCACTTATCCCCAGCTCTAGGAATTTAAGAATTGCCTAAGTAAACTTAATTATACATGAGCTACGTTTATGTTCAACGTCAGATCTACATGATGTCTATTAGGATCTAAGCACAAGGCTAATGGCATAAAACTCTGTAAAATTCACAATCACGGGAGGAACTTAGACGGGTGCAAACAAATATCCTTGTCGAAAAAAGTGATTCTAGAGCTGGGTCGCGATGGTAGAAATACTTTATCATGAAACAAAAAGTCCATTTCATTGCAACACCAAGATAGCTAAAGTGGTTTTTGGTGAACTACCTGATTGAGTACCAAAGGTAATCCGTGGAATCCTTTGTAATATTAAGTTGTTCGAGCAAACGGTTTGAAACGAGTGTTGCGGCTCCCCTAATGCCAACTGGCTCCACTGATGCCTCCCATTTCAGGCCTGATCCCACTATGCTCTCAGGAGCATGCTTACGCAACATATTAGAAGGCATGACAACCTCCCCTTCTAATTTTGAGCGCACGATTGTCATCCTTGTCAAAGTGGTCTGAGCGCCTACCTGTAGAAAAATACTAAATAGTTGAGATATATTTTACATACAGCTCACAAGTGGCCGCATAACTAACAGGCATTAAGGTAAGCTGGTTTTAACCTTGATAAGATAAAAATCAGCACGAAGTATTGAAAATACGCGGTCACAAGTGTATAACCAATTGCTTCCACTTATATTTCAAACACATCAAATAAAATCCATGAGTCCATTGACTCCAGTGAATATCTGTATCTAGAAGCTACGAATTTGTGACAAGAATATGGAGCAGTACGAGAAGAAAAAATCACCTGAGCCGTGTTAAATACGACATTCTTGCAATCAGGTAATATGCTGACAGACCAAGGTGGCAGCACATACGCTTTCCCTTTAAACTGTACAGTGGCGATTTTCCAACTGTCAATATTTGCAAGAAAAGCGGCGCATTGTCCACGTCCTGAATATACGTGCGCCTGTTTCACATCTCAGCACACGTGAAGTTAGTAGTCGTATTGGTGACTCCTCCGCAGAAATCATCTACATACCATCACACGTAATTTCTACAGGCCCCAAGTCTTATTTTCAGGTTTGAAAATGAACAACAATTGAAATCAACTGTACCAGACTTGTAAATCTGAGACACATTGGAGATTAAAAGTTTAGAAAAACTTTAAAAAAATAAAATACGCCGGGTAGGAATACAAACCTCTACATTCGGACCAAGCCAAGTGGAGAGTGGCACTTCGTCAACGGCAGTTAGTGCGGGCTCGCACAGCTTGATGGCAGCGTGAAGATCTCTCAGATGCCCCCATTTTGGTTGCCTTATGAGCCCTGCAGAAATTGGTCACAAATACAATTTCATTTGTCAAAAAACCTTCATACAAAAACTTCATATAGAATCGCGTAAAGTTAGCAACGTATAGCTGCAGACCCTTTCACAGGAGCCCCACCATATTCATCAAGAGGTGCATCATAATCGTAAGACGTTGTCATGAATGGTCCACCAGCAGTTCGAGCAAAGTTGGTACCACCAAAGTACTGTCAAGACAACTCAGACGAAGATAAGTTGGAATTTAAGAATATAGGCGCTAAATTGACATGTGAAGCAGCTACCACAAATATTAATGAGTTAGCTTTGAAATGATTATCAACGCGCAAATCGAGCTTCAATTTTTAGATGAAACGGGTCACGTCCTACCATGTAATAGTTCTGAAAGCTTCCTCCACGCTGGAAAAAACGTGCAATGGCAAACGCATTGTCTTCCACCGGTCTATGTGGAACCGACTGTCCCCAGTATTGAAACCTACAAACAGCCATTTGAAGACTCATCAAAACACAACACAGAAAGAATTTGTTTTTGCAAATAAGTAAATTTTCAATTACTGACAGACATATTCACAGGCCTTTTCATGTAGAATGTGGCAGAGTATTTCAATATTATTATTATTATTATTATTGTTATTATTTTAACTTAGTGAAGACATTACCAGCCGTTCCAATCCTCCGTCCAAAAAGCTGGCTTGGTGGCAGTGTTTGCCTTAAACCCGTCACAGTAATATCCATTACATGTGTTGATCTGCGCAGATGCCAAAACCATTACAACTTTACAACCATCTGGATGAAAGTATAAGACAATTGTTAGCCAACGAAGTCTTTCTTTAAAATAATTTGCAGGAAAAACTGGCAGCTTATCACTACTCATAACAACAAGATTGGAGAGAGAACTCACGATATTTCCAGGAGCATCATCTTGCTGGCACATCACCCAGGGTACTCCTGCATCAAGGCCGAGGGCCAATTCAGCTGCCCACATGGCATATCGTTTCCCCCCATCGCCAAACGCCCATTCTATATTCCCATACTCATTCTCGATCTGCGCTAAGACCCCGTTCAGAATAGTCCGTCAAAAGCAGTAGACACAAGCTGCCCCTAACAATGAACGCTGGCAAATTGTGGTATCAACAGTAACCAATTCATTGTTAGATGTATGCGCATCAAATGTAATCGCTACAACTACACAGCAAATGGCCATAGTAATTGTCCACCTTCAACTACCTGGGCCATGATAATGGGTCCTCCTTGCCATGCAAACAGCTGATTTTCCTTCATTAAGTTCACAATCTTTGACACGAACCCTTCCATCGCAACCTGAAACCAAAGCAGCAACCGTTGATCATAGGTAGGTGAAATAAAACATCTCTCAGAAGTAGTCTCTATTCAACTTGTGATTCATAACTTTAGTAACTCCTGCTTTTCAAAGAGTGCAGGTTAGAGGGTTTGAGCATAGAGAACCCACTCCGTTCTTACTTTGAAGGGTTCGTTGTCGGTACGAAATACAATTCCGGGGATATCTTTCAGCCAGTAAGGAAATCCCCTTCATCAATCAGCATGACAGCACTGTTAGTGTGCGAACAGAAATGGAAAGTATTTTCCCTTCAGTCATGTACTTGGGTTAAAATCAAGAATTGAAGGTAAAATCTTCAAAACCTTAATCAGCAGACATACCCAAAGTTCCATTCTGCACATACGTAGGGGCCAATGCGGAGATGAAAGTACAATCCAGCTTGTTGCACCACCTTTATAAACTTAACCAAATCATATCTGCCCTCGAAGTTATACTGCATATCAAGGTTCACCAATTAATCCTCAGCATTTTGATTCACTGAAGTTTACAACATTTATTTCACGCAAATCTTGTAGATAAGAAACCACGAAATTGATCTGAACCTATTCATAATCAACCACAAATATACATCGAGCATCATTACAGACAGAAGGCACAGCAATTCAATCCTATCCTTGATCTAAGAAAACCCAGTGGCTTTACTTCATAGCAACAGTACAAGCAAAGAATGATTTTTTTTGATTGCCTTCATTTTTTTGCTAATCAATGTATCAAAGACTGAAGGTTAGTGAAAGACAAACCTGCCCTTGCTTAGGCTCATGGCCATTCCAGAAAACATAAGATTGCACTACGTCTGCACCTCCCTCCTTCGACTTCTGTACCAGGCTTGGCCACATCTGTTCAGGAAGGTCCAATCATGTAAGTTAGCGAAAATTCCAAAACCATTTATTTCTGATTGCAGACTTCTTTTCATTAAAAAAATAAATGCAGAAGTAAAAACAATATCTGAACAAGAATTGAAAAACTCAGCCAAATCCCACAAATTAGAAAAAGTTCAACGATTAATGATGCGTATGAATTTAAATTGAAGCACTGATCAACGATTGATGCAAGAAAATCAAGAACACAAACGGAACAGAGTATCAACCTCAGGCGTAGCACGCGGGTAGTGTATGCCCGCGGAGATGAGCATCCGGCGCTGGCCATTGATTATGAGTGCTCGCTGATCGTAGGTGACATTAATCGGCTTCCTTGCACTCGCGATCGGTACAATTGACGCCACGCTCAGCAGCAGCAGCAACAGCAAGAATACATGCAACGACCGGTCTAAATTACCCATGACATCGCCGAATACCCCAAGCGATTACCCGTAGCTGGAAAATCTGGATAAGATTCCAAAACCTGCACAAACAAGACGAATTGCCTTCACTTGCGCTCGAGCGATGAAAGAAGAACCCAGAGAAGCAGAGAGCCACCAAATCACATGATCAGCAAGGAAATTCGGCTCCAGCGTCAACACAAGATCATGCTGATCTTGTCACGAAACATGGCTCATCACGCAACAAACCCAACCGCGAGAACAGTGCTTGAAATACCCCACCATCCACCAATCCCAAAACTCCGACACCAAAATTCTTACCAAATCTAAAAAAGCGCCTTCGGTTCAATCCCGCGGTAGTTCAGTCGTAGAGATCAAGGGTCGCAATTCAGCTGCGAGCGCGCTGCCGCAGATGGAATGGAGAGCTTCGAATTGCGCGAGAGGCTGCGTTGTGCGACTCGATTGCCAATGCTGAGCTCCTGATGTTGTGGATGAATGAACAATCTAAGATTGTGGATGAATATTTATGAAGATACCTTATCGGTGTCGTAGCGGCAGCTGCTGCCATGGTATATGATGAATGAAGACATCCATTTCAATATACATCCTTCGCACTTCATCCATTAGTAAAATAGTTGGGCTTGTAATTGGAATCCAACTGCCCGCCCATTCAGGTGGTTCAAACTAATATTCTATTATTCGTTTATTTAATTCCAAATATATGAATATAATTATATGTGTGTGTAGAAATGGTTATTACTTATATTTTGCACATGTCTTAATGACCGCGACATTAATTTTGATAATTTCTGTCAAAATGGCCTCCAATGTATGTAGAATATAGCACAGTGCTGTTGTTCTAGCTATTTGATCTCATTCATGTGCTGTGGTAAGAGTAAGAGACAGCCCTCAGTGTTGTTGACGTTGATTACTTTATGTTTCACGAGGTGGATTTCAATGGATCTCAATGAATTCTTAGTGCAATGGCAAAAGTTGCTTAATCTTGATATTATTTGATGTTCTATTTATAAATTATGATTTGACCATTTGTTCTGCCGTAATCTGTGCCGAATGCAGTGTTCGGAGAGCATCCACGAAAATGCGTTTATCTCCTAGTACCGAAAATGCGTTTGTCTCGGCCTGCGCTGCCGCGAACTTTACTTGGGGAGTGACGGTTACCGCTCTCCGGAAAAGCTTATGCCACTGCAGAAGCGCTAAGCGATCGAGTGTCGAAGGAGATATGATTGTGGTCTCGCATCTACACCTCATTGTTGATAATGTCGCATTCATGGATACTACGCATCGAATCCACTGGTTTTTGGACTTGGACTTAGTTCGGCCAGTTTGACACATGGTGAGTCGATTGAAGTGCACGCAAGGTGATAAATATTGCAAGGCGCTTGCATGTGCTGGCATCATTTCGTGTGTCACTTCCTAATAGAAGCGCACACGCAGTTGATCTGCATGTCTGCATCTGAAACGTCGAAGAGAGAATCAGCCCTGAAATAGGTATGCTTATCAAGCTCCTGTTACCACCGCCCTTGGGTAGCATTTGGCTATGGAGGGTGAGCAAATCCTCTCTCTACCTTGAATGCACACATGTATATTCACGTGCACACCGTATGCAGGTGCTGCATATTCACGATACGTTAAACATAAGTGTTTTATGTATAATATTTCATATTACGGTGCCCTGCGTCAACCAAAATTGTGTCAATGTGAAGATTCGTTAGTAAATAGATTTTTAGTGATGTCACCGTTTTGTTGAATTGTAACAATGTCTTTAAAAAAAGCTTGCTGATTCGAATCTATCACTTTCGAAGCAGAGAATCTGGGATTATTGCTATTTATTCAGTACTTTGTTACTTATTAAAAAAATTCAATAACTCTTCTTTATGATACAATTTTTACTTCTAAATCACTTTTTCGAGGTTTCACGGCTTTAACAGCGTGATTTCAAACCTTGCAAGTGACTCAATTTTTGAATCCTACATGGAGAAGTCCAAAGCAAGACACAAAACACTACATATATATTTACTGAATATAACTAAAAGATATTCAGCCTCACGACACGCAACAACAAAACATGCCAAGTAAGCTGCCACGTCCGCAACATTACTTTGCCACGTTGCGGATCAGATCGAGCTGGACTGGCACGCCGTTCAACTTCGGTAACTCACCGATAATCGCCACTGCACGGCGTAACGTTCCTTCCCAATCCATGGATTTCCAATTCTAAACCTACTCGCTTTATAGATCCACAATACTATATCAATAGCTTTCGAATATTGTATGTAGCACTTCAGCCACCGTGTTCTATGGCGGCAGCAACCAGCAATTTACCACCAGCATAAAATTCGGTTTTGTGGACAGGGTATGCCGGTGTCTTGAGTAGAATTATAGAAGAAAAGCGCATGGAAAGCAGTCTATACCCGGTAACAAAGGAAGGAGACGGGTTGCATCGGGTGGAATTAAGGGGAAGAGGAATGAAGACCACGGTAAAAGGTTAGCGTCATGCGGGAGCAAAGCGTACTCCTCTCGTGACGCTTCGGAGTACTTGAATGCGTAAGAGTTCTGCTGAATTATGGTCTCTCATTCAATCGCTCTGCTACTGTTGTGGTCCGTGTTCAGATTCGCAGCGTGGTGATCGGAGTGAAGCCTCAGCAGGTGCGTTTTGGAAGAATTTGTGGCAGGATTTTTGGACAGATTGTAGTGAATTGAGAGCTAAGTGAGCGGGCTAGGAGCTTGGTTTAGAAGAAGAAGAAGAAGAAGAAGAAGACAGAGCAGCTTTGGTCTGGTGTATTTTTGGTCATCGTGTGTGCGTGGTTTTGTTTCGGAGGTTTTAATGCTCTTTTCGATCACGTTTGATAATATGGAATAGAATGATGTATGATGATTATGCTTCGTTTTGAGCTTTATTTCTTTTTTGCTGGTTTAGTTTTATTTGGCTGTGGAGGAGTTGAATTTCTAAGAGTTTGGAGAGCGTGAATTGTGGCAATATGTGCTGAATCGGCTGTGATCTTGAGAAGTGATGGACGTGGTTTTGAAATTGGTGGCTGGATGAGCTGCTTTTTTCTGAAGACTGATATAACGTAAGGGTTCGGTGAGGGTGTGATGCTTCGTACGTTTGCACCTTGCGTGGTTGCAAATGAAATCATTAAAGATTGAAATAGAGAAACATCTGTCGCGCGGACTTTTCGCTGCGGTATCTTTTTCCTAATCGGCGGATGTTGATCATTGTTTTCTGCTGCGTGTGTCGCTGCAGAATTTTTGTTTTGGTTTTGGTTCTGACCGGGATTATTTTTTCATTTTTTTATTTTTTTTTCCCTTAGGTTGCCTGACGATTTGGTTCGGGTCTTGAAGTATGAAAGTTCATTTTCTATCTTTGAGTTGTCACTATCTCAGCCTCAGCACAGGCAGTATTGAATTTAACAAGTTTTTATGAAGTACTAGGTTGTGAGGGTGTGGATGATCGGTTCTGTTTTGCAGCCATGGAGCTGACTTGTAACGGTCCAGAAATGTCTTTATCAACCATGAAGAGACTGTCGATCTTGCAAGGCCATTTGGAATCGGGGAGTTCCGTTGCTTCTACAACGCTTGAAGCATTCACTGTATCAGCTGAAATTGCACCGCAATTTTCAGGGGGAGCAGGAAGTTTGACGATTGTAGACAATCGAACTGGGAAGAAGTACGAGATTCCCATCAGTGAAGGTGGGACAGTTAAGGCCACAGACTTCAAGAAGGTGAGGTGGATTTTTTTAAATTTTTATTGCCGCTCATTTTTATGTTCAAAGATTCAGAGCTATATTAGTGTGATTTTCACTAGAAAACTCGTAACTTATGCTGAAATTATCAGAACTAAGGGCATGCCTTGTCTAACGAATGTTGTGCGGTTTGATACAGATTACCGCTGGTGAGGATGGAAATGGACTCAGATTATTCGACCCAGGATATCTTAACACCGCACCAGTCCGTTCAAAAATTTCATACATCGATGGCGACAAGGGTATATTGAGATATCGAGGATACCCTATCGAGGAGCTTGCTGAAAAGAGTTCCTTCACTGAGGTTGCTTTTTTGTTAAGTGAGTACTCTCAGGTTTACTTTTCTACAAGTGTTACAGCATGTAGTGTTTGACGATCTATTTGTCATAGATTACTTACGCTTATATTTGGTGTACGTTTTCAGTTTATTGTTAAGAGCTTTTATTTGTGTTTCGAATCAAATTTTTATCTGTGACATTCTTTTACGTAATTAGCTGCTCTTTGTGAAGGTATTTAATTTCGCGAATAAACAAAGCCTGCTTGATACTAATCTATTTCGGTTCATAATCATTTTGACCAAGGTTGTCTTGATTGAGCTTTGCAGTGTACGGAAATTTACCGACGAAATCTCAGTTGGCTGATTGGGAGGCTTCTATCTCCCAGCACTCTGCTGTTCCAGAAGGAGTGCTGGTGTGCATTCTTTCTTTTTTGAAATGACATGCGTTTACTTGAACGTTTGGTAGAATTATTTAGGATCTTGGAAAATGATTGTATTTCAGTTTTCGCCTTGTTAGCCTTTTTGCGATCTTCGTTTGGAAGTGATTTAGAGGTTTCAGACATAGTTTGCTTCAAACGTCTGTGGCAATTGCATTGGAGTGATTTGTGTTGCTTTCTGCATTACTCTGGTGGGAGCAGGAAGTACTAGCTGCGCTGCCACATGACGCTCATCCCATGGGAATGTTGGTAGGATCCATTTGTGCTCTGTCTTCTTTCCATCCAGATGCCAACCCTGCCCTACAGGTATTTGCTATTCAATAAACCTTTACTACTTAACCAACCATAGGTTTTCTACACAATGACTTTGGTCCATGTTGCATTATGTGCCAATTAATCAAAGATTGTAAAACCTTCGTTTCGTAGTCACGAGGCGTACACTGGAGGAGGTTGTTTAGGTTTCTTTTGAATTTTCCGTAAACCTACAGGTTAATAGGCTGCCATTTAATATTATTTTTAAACAGTGTAAGTACTTGGTTTTTGCTTAATGAGAGTGTTCACGCAGGTCCTTTTGTTTAAAACACCAGCTTGCTCTCTCTTTTCTGTACACCTTTCCACCTGTCTACCAGCTTAACGTGTTCTCGGCATTCTGGTTTATTTGCAGGGTCAAGATTTGTACAAGAACAAAGCTGTGAGAGACAAACAGATCGTGCGCGTTCTAGGAAAGGTCAGATTTTATCTTTAGCGAACTACTCGAGGATTTATTTCTGAATTTTCCATGTTCGTTACCTTCTATTCAGAGGCTGTTGAATGTCATGACTCACAGTGGAGTTGTGTTTACGTTAATGTTCTTTCAGGTGCCAACGCTTGCAGCTGCCGCATATTTGCGAATGGCTGGCAGACCACCAGTGTTGCCATCGAACCAACTTTCGTATGCGGAGAACTTTTTGTACATGCTAGATTCACTGTACGTCACTACCTTTCGGTGATGTTTATGTCACACATACGTTAGAGTACACACCTTTTTACATACTATTGGCGTTTCTGAAGCTGATACCCTTTTAATATTCTACTTGTGAACGCTACAGACCAAAATCGTGTTGTTATTTTCACGTTCCTTTTTTGTTTTCATTACCAATGACTACAGTGCGGACGCAGTCTACTAATGACATAACTCCTTTAAAATTGGCAGGGGTGATAGGAAGTACAAACCTAATCCAAGACTAGCCAGGGTTTTGGACATACTTTTTATATTGCATGCTGAACATGAAATGAACTGCTCTACAGCTGCTGCCCGTCATCTTGCTTCGAGGTACGTTGATGAAGTATATGATAGTATTTTTATAAATTGCTTGCAGATTAGATGGCTTTCTAAATTGGCTCGCTAAAAGATTCTACCTTTGTTCTTAAATTGACTTCATGTTCAATTGGTTTACTGCAGTGGAGTCGACGTTTACACAGCTTTAGCTGGAGCAACAGGTGCTCTTTATGGGCCTCTGCATGGTGGTGCTAATGAGGTACGCATTTGGGAGCTTTTGATGAAGTCCATAACTTTGAAGTTGTAGACTAGAAAGTATTAATCTGTGTTGGATTGAGCCTTCGTCTTGCTCTTTCCTCCTTTAGATATGTGCTGCGCATGTTTTTAGTGCCATTGCTTTAGATTAAGGATTATCTAACATTTGATTATCATTATACAGGCTGTGCTAAAGATGCTGGCAGAAATAGGCACTGTCGAGAACATTCCTGATTTTCTTGAGGGTGTAAAGAACAGGTACCTATTCAACCACGCTTTATAGATTTTCTTTTCTGAAGATCCACCTGTAGCACGTGTTCCTTTCTCAGTAGTGAGTTTGGTCGGAGGCGATTACTGTGTATACAGGTGACTGGTACTTATGAGCAGTCTTCAGTATTTTTTCATGAGAATTATCTCTGCAACATTGTGATTTTAAAGTGTTTTTGATTGTTCGCGTGTCATTGGAGCAGGAAAAGGAAAATGTCAGGTTTTGGTCACCGCGTTTACAAGAATTATGACCCTCGTGCCAAGGTCCCTACCTCTTTACATTACATATAACATACCCATTGGCCTTTACTAGGCTGCGTTAGTCAAGTATCACGCAGTTTGAAACATTACGAATGTGGTCAGCTTGTAGATATTGGTGGAGCTCTGAATAAGTATAGGCGACGATCGTAATATTTTATTGCTAGGAAATATACTGAGGCAAACTATTTGAACGAATATGGTTTGGTACGAATGTTAGCACAACTGAGTACTTGTCGTGGGAATGCATATAGAGTCAGCAGCACTAAACTACGACGTTCAGGAAGAGTAAGTGCATTCCTTTTTTTTCAAATCTTCTAAAAATTGGTTTGCTTACTGGTTAACAGGTGGTTCGGACATTAGCAGATGAAGTTTTCAAGATTGTTGGCCGCGACCCACTTATTGAGGTTTGTTCATCGAGATCTGTGTATCAATTCTTGAATCTCGAGTTTGCATTAATACGTTACCAAAAAGAAAAGATATCATAGCGACACAGATGATAAAACTTTTACAAGATGTTGGAATTTTTGTCACGAAGAAAATTTACCGCTGTGTTAGCTTAAATTCCCAGCAAACTGCAGCTTTGTGAGAAATGGAGATGATTGGTAAGAGGTTAGAATTGAAGTAGTGTTGAACGAAGCGACTCTCTAGCCTAATACAGTTGCACTTCAGTTTTGAACTCATTGTAGAGAACCTCTACTTTGACATCCAGACCTTGTAATATTTTTCAAAGCTTCAGCGGGGGATTCCATTGTTGCAGTTCCATGGACACCTACTAACGCTTAATTTAGTGTGCTTTTCTCATAAATATTGTCGTAGGAGAACTTGGGATCATTGAAGACCTTTTCAATGTTCTCTTTTCAATTGGGTTAATTGTGATGTTGCGTATTAGATTTGCTCACTAGTTTCTAGGTTTGGTGCAGGTGGCAGTTGCTTTGGAGAAGGCTGCTCTTGCTGATGAGTACTTTGTAAAGAGGAAACTGTACCCAAACGTTGACTTCTACTCTGGTGTTATTTATAGGTGCGTGACTCAATCTCTGAATTTGTTGAAGAATATTATTGTCATAACTGGGGTGAACTTTACTTTTAGTTCTTGATTGTTTAGTATTAGAGATACTATTAAGATGCACATGAGTCGCTCATCTATGCCACTTTTTTGTATCTTGAGGTTATTTTTATTGTACACACAAAACTGACTGTTTTTTGTCCATACAACATCTCGGCCTTCTTTTCTCTGGGTCAAATAAGTGATCTCATTTTAATTTCTGCAGGGCACTCGGATTCCCAACCGAGTTTTTCCCTGTACTTTTTGCGATTCCCCGCATGGCTGGATATCTTGCTCACTGGAAGGAATCCCTCGATGACCCTGACACCAAAATTATGCGTCCTCAGCAGGTTGGATTTTTTAAGTTCATTCTAATATTGTTGTAAACTCATCAAAGACATAGAAACAACAGAATGATTATAACGACTTTCTTGACAGATTACGGAGTTTAGAAATTAAATTGATATGAAAAGATTTAACCAATCAAGTAGACGTGAAATAGCGATGGCTATTTTCTACAAGTTCTGTTTTTGCACTCTTTTCTGACCGCCTCGACTTTGTTCAGTGGTACCAAGGAGAGTGGTTGCGCCATTACACTCCTACCAACAACCGCACCATGGCTGAAACCACCGAGAAACTGAGCAAAATTTCAGTTTCAAACGCAACCAAGCGCAGAATGGCGGGAGAAGTATGAGGACGAAGCATCCCTTAACGTTTCTTTTTTCTTTCATCTTTTTGGAAGAGGCATTGTGTTGAGTAGGGCCCAGGGGACCGATGTTCATTCTCCCTAGTTGCGATTTACAGAAGTTCGATCCAATGCAGAGTACTTCATGGAACACCCTCATAATCGGTTCTAGAGGGTTATCATATTGTTATTGGGGAAGCGATGAAGTCTCAGTTGCAGGCTTGCTCATGCTTCACAAATAATGTGCTATACCAACATTTTTTTGCATTGATTTCTCTAAATCGTTGATCTTAAGTAATAAAGAGGCTGTTCTGGAGAGAAGTGGACACATGTACCCGTATTTTTAAGCTAAAATTTATACACGTGGTTGCAAGTCTTAGATACCATGAAACTGGAACGTTTGCTGTAATAATGCATTGCACACAATAGAGGTTTTTACTTCCAATCACTCAATGAAAAAAAATAAAAAAATTCTATATCATAAAAAAAACTTTCATGCACACAGAATTGTCTGCAGAGCAATCTAATTTTCTTTTATCTTTTCTTTTTATATTTTCGGATCAATCAGAAGTATGATTTAAATTGAACTGATAAACAAAGAAGAAATTTTTTACCAAATTATGGTTCAGATTTCAGAACCTAATATTGATTCACTTAATATTCGATTGATACATATATAAAAGTAATTACCTACGGTAAAAACTGTTATGACTAGTGTAAACTTAAACCATATAAGCCTTTGCGTTGTTTACACTTGCAATCCTTTGAGTGGAACCCAGCCTCATTAAGACAAGGTGGGTCAACGTATGGTGAGGGTATCTGTGCAGTGAGGGTTCTTCCTTCAAACCCTGCCTCAACCAGATCTTGCACAACGAATTGGACCACCCTTCTGCGGAGACAACGCAACGGGGTGAATTTCTTGCAACTTGCGAGGATGGGTGCAGACAGGTTGTTGCAAGTGTAAACATATTCATAAAGAAACAAAGCACGAGTCAGCACCAACTTGGGTAGGGAAGAACTTTTGCATTGATTCTATTTTTAGGTACTGAATATTCCAAAACTGTTGCAGGGAATCATTGGGGATGGTCAATAGGGATGTAGCTCAGATGGTAGAGCGGAGCGAGAGCGGGAATGGGGCAGAACGGCAGAATGGAGCCGAAAAATTAGGGTAGAATGTCGATTTTGATTAGCTAGAAGATTTATCACGGAAGGTAACGTCTTTATGCATTCAAATTTCTTTAGAAGAGTCAATGCATTGTGAGTGTTTTGAAGACAACGCGAGAATATAGATCAACTCACAATTAGTAGACCGGTTCAGAGTGTTTAAGCACTCAATGTCTATACAACAGGAGCCAGCGCACCTCAAGAGATGAATACACTGATCGAATCAGACAAGATAGTATCAATAGTAGAACAGACACACAAGCACACCAAGAGCAGAAAAATCGCCGCCTCCTCCATAGAATTACCGCAATCCAATAGTAAGCGAACTCCAACATGCCACAAACACACAACCAATTCAGATCAAAGTAACACAACCATGCCAAATGACAATATTGAAACACAAGCGAGGACAACAATAGCCGACTCATTTCCACCTCTACAAGAGCGGCCAGCAACAGAGGAAGAGACACAGGGTCCGCCGCAATCGTATTAGCCACCGCGAACCCTAGGGTGGGATCCAAGCAGTAACTCGACGGCACCACTTGAGCTACCCCAAACGAGACCTGATCAAGAGGCATACAAGGAAATCCAGCGACTATGGTGCAAATCGGGAAGTTTTCAAATTGGTTTTGCTGTAGTACCTCATAACCCAATTGGTTTTCCTGGTTTGAAGTTCTTTGGGTAATCCCAGGGTCTTTCAGAAGTTTGGTTGTATTTCTGTAGTATCCAAGTGAGCTATTTTTGTGAATGGTGGTCCCGGTGTAGCTTTCGGTGATTATGTTATTTTTGATTGCCATACCAGTTTATTCCATGGTTCTGGTCTCTGGGGAACCCTGGGAAGAGTGACCTTCGAGACTATGTGCTTCTTTACTAGGTTGGCTGATGTATACACTACAATCTTTCAGCAAGCATGGCTGTTGGAGTCTGCTTAGGCTTATCCTTGGGTCTTGGTGGTTTGGCTTAGGAGATGGGGCAATAACGAACATGGTGGTCTCTCCCTCTACACCGATTGCATTGTCAGGGTAGACCACTTAGCTCAAGCTGGTATTTTGAAGAACCTGGGTCAAGTAGGTTGCTGATAAGTATCAATGAGGGTAGGTTTTATGGTTCTCCACTAGTATTCTTGCTCTAAGGTCGAATAGCTTATTCTTGTCATTTTTTGAAGATTCGATGCTGACTACTTCTACCGATAGGTGGTTGAGGACTCTCAAAAATACCTTCAATTTTTCAATAATTTGGGAGGCCACAAACTTGAATTCATATAGGGTTGAGATCAAGTTTAGATGCCAAACAATGGAGTGAACCCCTTAGAAGATGGTCAGATGCAATACGGACTCACCAATGGCACTTAGAAGGTTCAATCTAGACTTATGAATGGATCTTGTTCATCCCATTTTACATTGAGAAAGTCCGCATCAAGCATGTTAGAGAATGGAGCTTGCATAGATTGCTAGTACATGAAGACCAAACCTCTCCAACTAGCTTGGAAAAAACTCATGGAGGTCAATCCATAGAATTGGATATCACACTTAGAAACCTCTTTACATATATATCAAGCTACAAAAACCACACTTATAAAGTAAAATAAATCCCTACTAATTAGAGATCTATTCTAGTTCATAACAATTTTAATTATTTAATACTTCTAATCCTTTCCTATTAGTATTTTATTAAGTGCCCAACAACTCCAATAAAATTCTAATTGTGATCTAAAAAAAATCCCTCTTATAGGTGATCTATTTTAGTTCACAACTATTAATTAGCTTACAATTTAATTCCTTAAGTTGTCTCCTATTTGGTTTTAAATTCTTAATTTTTTAATTAGTAAAAATCCACACTCATATAACCACAAAAACTATACAATTATTCAATTAATAAGAAAAAAAAAAAAAAAAAAAAAAAATACACACACACACATTAAGTCTTTGATCAACTGCTAAAGAAGAGCATTGACACCAATCATTAATTCCATTGATGTTTCAAATGCAATGCTTGCACTAATTAAAAAGCTTAGTCAAAGACCCACACAAAGCATCAACTACCATAATCCACCCTAAATCACAATAAAAAAATTGGTAATGTCATAAGTTGTTGTTGTTAGAACTACTTACTATGCCATTCACAACACCAATATATAAGGAAAAGAAGAGAGTACAAACTTCTTGCACTACAATAAGAAGAAACAAGGATAATCATGCTACACTGCAACTTTGACCTTATATACCAAGAAAAAATAACACAAAAATAAAACATCTCAAAGTGCTCAAAGTCCAAGAATATGTTACAAGAAATTTTAAAAAAAATAAAAAATAAAAAATAAAAAATAAAAAATCTAAGGCAATCTGAACCTCTATTAAAGATGGAGCCTCCTTATTTTTGTTTCATCCTTGACTACTATGCCTAATAACTGGGACCGAGTTCCAATACCTAGATGATGGCCCATTTGTACTTAATATCTACCTAAACTACACTACTTTCAATCTAGTACAATATTTCTACTATATATCATATGGTCTTTAGCCTGTCTTATATTGTATTATATTTTATCTTTTGTATCTAATCTATATTTGAATCATATCCAATTTTTAGACATAATATCTTTTATAAATCATAGTTCTATTGGATTATACCATTGTAGTATCATTTTACTTATTCCAAACTAATTTAATTAAAATAAACCTATATAGGTGGATTCAAATACAAAAAAAGACTACTTGCATGAGATATACTTGTTAGGGTCACACAATTAACCATTTTTAATTGATTAAATTCAATTGACACATAAAACACTCCAAAATGACTTCAATTTCTATAACTACCCATAGATTCTTCTTCATAGTCAAATATAAATATTTGTAATCTTGTTTCACATAAATCTCATATTTTAATAACCTGTCTTTTTTCAATCTCATAATACCATTATGTAATACTGCATTGCTTTAACAGACTACATACACTCATTTAATATTCCAATCACTAGATATAAATCTTCACTAAGAATACATTCCAAAATTAATCATTTCTTTTACATTCTCTTTTATTACATCCAATCCTACTCATTTCTTATAGATCTCTTCCACTATTCAACTATCATAGCCAATATGATACAACATCATCCCTTTTAATTGAACAATATCAATATCTTCAGTCACTAACTTCCAATCTGCCAAATAGAATTCAATAATCAATAAATTCAATTTCTTATACAACAACATAAAGATCCAATTTCTATTTCATTATAATACTCTTAGTTTATATTATTCAACAATCACAATGGATCCCAATCTTTCAACTCTAGTGTTATTACAAAAAAAAACAAAACAAAAAAAAACAAGAGGTAGCACCAAGCTTATCTCGGCTTTAAATCCTCGTAGACTGGGCTCCTTCTACTTCTTCTTCAACAAATTTATGCTTATCTCCAAATATCAAACATTACATACTCGATGTTAACTACTTTTCCTTCCTAATCATCCATTATACCTACTAAACTATCCATTCATCAATTTACTAGCTTTTCTTAATCCTACATATAATGTATTGTAAGAAAAAAAGATCCTATCCATTCTACAACCAAATTGATATTATATTGATATTATATCAAGCCATATCTAGTAAAATAAGACTAAATTTTTTTAAAGACTTAAAACTTTTTTAATCTATAATAATATAAATCTCATCACAAAATAGGACAAAACGGACTAGAATAAGATTGAATAGAACTAAATAGAGTAGAACATGAAAGACTTAATAGAGCAAAAAGAAACAAAATAAAGCAGAATAAAAAATATAAATCAAGCTTTACTAAGAGAAAGGAATGAAAGCCATACCTAATCAAATGCCTCAAATGGCCTTTGTTGGTCTTATTTATACTTTATCTAACTAACTTAGAACTTTCTAGAATATTCATAATAGTGGATTTCATTAAGATAACCTTCCTTCTAGAAGATTTTAGAGGTGGATCCTATCTTGGCAACTACCAACTTAGAAGGTTTTAGAAGTAGATCCCGCTTAGATAACTGCCCTTAATTCTTTTAAGATGTTTTATGGTATATCCCACATAAACCATTAACCTTGCCTTAATTCTAAAAATTTATAGAAACTTTCTAAAATCAGTCCTAATTACCTATCTCTATACATAAATAATATAATTATCTTATCCAAGTTCCATTTCAGTTAATCCCTCCTCCCTACTAGTATAGAACATCTTCATTTTGCTCCTAATAATATCTCTAGATTGTTTCTTGACAATGGATGAGATTTTGTACAAGTTCTTACATTGCATCGTAGATGAAATAGGTATTCCAAAGCGCCTTGTATTGAAGTTGTAAATGTCCATTACTACAACAAAAGTAGTGATGCTCTAAAATGTTATTTACTTCATATTCTTGTTGATCATCAATCACAACCGATAGTAGTGGTGGTTGATGTTGATTTAGAAAGTACCTTAATTTAGTATGAAATTCCTTGACCTGTAAAACATAGAAGACTAGATAGATCCAAATATATGGCGAAAGCTCGAGAGAGTATGCAATATCAAAAATTACTGCAAAAATATCTAAGCCACCAAGGTGCCAACTTACGGACTTGGATTCATGTGTTAAGTAGAAAGTTGGCATTGGAGAATAATATTTGGTTACCCTCTTAGAAGGCCTTATATTATCAATAATTATCTATATATTACTTCTATTGATTTTATGTAATAAGAAGGCAATGTCATGCTTCTTACAAGGCAGTTGTAAGTTGTTGTATAAATTCTTTTATTGTCAAGTTGTTGATATTAATGGGATGATTGAGAGTTTTTAGCATAATCAAATATTGACTAGTGTTAAGAAAGAATGGTGAATGACCAATACTTGCTTGAATACTATCATTATAAGCAAACTCCAAGAGCATCAAATATTCATCCTATTCATTATAGTCAACTACCACAAATGTTTATAGCATATTTTTTAAGGTTCAATTTACATACTCTATTTTTCCATCCGTTTGATGATAGAAGGCTATGGACATAGTAAGTTGTGTATCCAATAGCTTGAACAAGGTCTGCCAAAAACTTCCTATAAAGTATAGATTTTGATTTAAAACGATGACATGAGATAATCCATAGTGATGAAAGATTGTGTCAAAACAAATCCGTAGAAGTGTTGAGGCATCAATATAAAAGTACATCATAACCAAGTAAAGTTGCTTTAAAAGTTGATCTATAAAGACAACAACCGTGGTATAATTATGATGCATCGTCACTTGCTCTTAATGTGCCATATGTAGTAGAATTGGCTGCAATAGCCTAAAAGATGTCATGTTGTATGCTTTGTTACATTGATATTACTTGCAAGAGCACACAAAAGCTCAAATATCATAGTCCAAACCTATATAAAATCATATCCTAGAGATTTGTTCTAGAATCTTTTTACGCCTTAAATGCCTAGATATTAGAATATTGTATCTTTCTTAAAATATGTACCTCTGAAATATAGTATTGTGAAGAACATAAATTTATTTCTTAAATTAGAATAAACCATCATTAAAATTATAATCTTGATATTATATATTACTTATCTTCACTCGATCACTAACCATCTTGAAATAAGCATCTTGATGTGTAGCTTCCTTCCATTCTATCTCTTTAGTTAGATTTGAAATAATACTACTAATAGTAGTAACTTCTATCTTTTCCTCTATTTTGGCCTTCAAGTTTGGTCTTTGCAATAAGCTATTTGACACAATATATTGTTGTCCTTGCTTATATTTAAGCTAAATATCAAAAAATTACAATTATTCTTTTCAATGATGATGTTTTAATTTCATATTTTTTGAATGCAAATCTTATAATAAGGGTCGATGATCAATCCAAATAATTTTTGGCTTTTTCAATAAATAGTATTGGTATATCTTTGTCACATGTATAATTACTAATTGCTCTTGATTATGTACAAATTAATTATTTTTTATCCTTTTGAGTTTATATGATTCATATAGTAGGAATTGAAGGCTCCTACCAAAGTCTTGTTGAAGGACCGCTTCAATAGCAAAGTTAGAAGTATCAATGTCAAGTATATAACAAAGGTTGAGATCATATGGTTGCAATAATGAAGCAATAATGAGTGCCTCTTTTAACCTATCAAAGGTATTTTATTGCTCTAATTTCCATTCAAATGGAACACCCTTCTCCAATAGGCTTATCAATGAGACAATAATGTGTATAAATTATCAAACAAAATAACAATTAAAATAAGACTAGACTAATTCAAAAACCTAAGATCCTTCTAATCTACAATAATATAAAGCCTCCTCATAAGATATGACAAAATAGATTAGAAAAAAATTGAACAAAACTAAACAAAATAGGACATAAAAGATAAAATTGAGCAAATAGAAACAAAATAAAACAGATTTGAATAAAAAGATGCCAAACCAAACTTTACTAAGACAAAAGATTTGATGCCATATTTGACCAGATGTTCCAAAAGGCCCTGGTTAGTCCTATTTATACCTTATCCTACCACCCTAGATTTTCTAGAATGTTCTTAGGTGGTAGGCTCTACCTAGATAACTGCATTAAATTTCTTTTTTAGAAGATTTTATGAT